AACTCAGACACTCTCATCCAATCATATGCCGCACTTGAGGCAGTTTGCCTCATTTCACCTTTCAAAGTTGCGTTGGTCGTTGCTTGTTAATACAGAAAACGAGTCCGTTCCATTCCAAAATAACATTTCAGCAAATTTCAAAGGAGCGCTTTTCGATTCAGTGTCGTAAGACCAAAGTAATCACAACGGCCAATCAGATTAAAGGAAAATACCCTGAAGAGCCAATAAGAACACAACATAAAGGCAAGCAAACCACCTAAAATGCAGGAAAACGCAGTCGACCAGGTCATGAAAAGTGTGGCGCGAGTTTTCTGGACCAATGATAGAGCAGAGTAAAGCAAACTTAGTGCAATCCTGGATTGCACTAAGTATGTTTTGAACGTTACATGTCAAAGCGAATTTTGTTTTTCGCTTATTTAATGTGTTCTTCCGTTTCCGGGGCCAAAGCACTAAAAAAACGTGTCTGCGATTTGCCTTATTCAATTTCAGTGAAAAGTTACAGAACATTTTTGAAATAGGATTAAAAAAAATGTGGAGTGATCGTACAAAAATCGCTCTTGAAAAAAAAGTATTTAGACTAAAAAATTCGGAGACAACGTTTTGTTGTTTATATGTAAAGCTAGCTACTATCAAAATTTGAGAGCAATGGAACAAATTTCCTTTGACTTGTAGCTCTTAAAAGGTGATTCGGGCGCTCGCATTCAGAAGTCATGAAAAATTCGACAATTAATTTTTTTTCAAAATTTTTGGTATAGTCTAATAGCCAGTCCTATATGCTTTAATTTGATATAGGGGTTTAGATATCTACAGTTTAAACCGAACGCGCCACATCGGTTGCACGCGAGACACCCCTGAAGGTGCACGGTAACCTTAAGGAAGATTGAATAAACTGCACAGGAAAAAGAAACTACTCTCGTTAAGTGTGCCTAATTCTGACAAATTTTATATTTCTGGTTAATTGAATACCATGAGCTTACCTAAAGATCTCATCATGAAGGTGTTGTAACATCACTGGGAGAAGAATTATTTTATAGAACAGGGCGGGGAGGTAGTGATGAATAAACAATGTTCGCTCCATGGGGAAGAAAGTCATGAAGTGAAGAAGATATCCCACAACCACCGCTTCACCACAAAACACGTATCTCTCCCACGCATCTAAGAAATACAAGAGCAATTTGCCCCATAAGTATTTATTCAAAATTAGTCTATACAAGAGTTTTTTTCAGTTGAAAAGGTTGAGAGCACACAAGAGACTGACTCTCAAAGTTCCCAGAGATTACTTTGGTTGCAAGGATTCGTTAAATGCTGGCCAAGGTCTGCGGTGTATCATGTTATCGACAAGACATTTTATCATCTCAGTACCTCTACCATATGTTTTGGAAAACTCTACGATAAATATCAATGGTGGCATAGAAAGTAGAAGGGCAACTTGCGAGGAAAGCTGTACGCCTAGCTCTTTACGCCAAAAAGAGGTCACGAAGAGGAACTTGTGCGGCTGCTTTAGAGACAGCTGAACGACCTACAATAAGAAATCAAAATCCCGAACAAAAGCACCTCTGTAAACCTACCTTCTGACAAGTCGTACACCTTTCTTCTTCTCCTCAATAAATAAAAAATTAAAAGTCCAAAGTACACAGGAAGGGAAAGAGTGGTCGCCCACCATACAAAAGGGTTGCCAATGCAGAATATTTGCGCCTGAAGTAGAGAAAACACCAGGATCAGTTGTGCTCTTAAATGGGATGAAGTAAAGTGAAATGAAAACAGCGGTCAACTATCGGGCACGCGCGAGGGGATCAATTCAATTCTGGCTGGCAGCGTGCCAATTTCACGCGGAAAGATTCAAAGAATATAGAAGAAAAATCGCCGTCTCGCAAAATGAGCGAAAAAAATTAAAACATCAATAGAAATATGTGAAAGGGAACACAAGTAGAGAAAAGGAAAACTCGCGAATCTTCAATCACAAAGCATGTTTCAGTACTGTTGATTTACCCGTCTGTTTTTAATTTTATCAAAAAGTGATGCGTTTCTAAAAATAACCGTGACTTGCTGGCTTCTAAGGTCGTTTTTAGCTCGTGTCAGACAACCTGGTTCTGGCAGCCTGTAAGCATGTCACCTAGTCATAGACAACGTTCGCACATGCGCATGCATTTGACCGCTGTGTAAGTGAAGTGCAGTAGTGTTTAGCTTACATTAGTGTCTCTGGCAATCCAAAACGCGACTCCTCTTCTCATCAGAGGCCACCATGAAGGACGCGATCCGAACGTGTGCTCAGCAGAGAGCTCCTTGGTGGATTCTAGCATCTTAAGCTGACGACAAAACACCAAAAACAGAAAAAGAAGTTGTGAGAACGGACAGAATCAGACGAAGAAGTCAGCGATAATTATCTGACAAGTCCGTAGTGCGGGAAAAAGAAAACAGGAATGGTGCAATGATGAGAGCGTTCGTCTCCCACCACTGGGGACTAGAATCGATTCCCGGACCTGGTGTAACCTGTGGGTTG